TAAGAGTACGAAATTCTCATACCTTTGCTTCTCTCAGTTCCCAAGGAAAGAAACTCCCCAAGAAGGCCTCCTCAAACATAGCCCAACTCACAAGTGGTGCACCTTCAACTCTATTCTTCTTCCATTGATCAAACCAGATTCTAGCGACACCCTTCAGTTGGTATGCAACTAGTTCCACTCTAGAAGAATCAGTAACATGCATAATCTCAAAAACCTTCTTAAGCTCTTCAATAAACTTTTCCCGATCCTCAGTGACACTTGAACCAATGAAGCTTGGAGGATTCATCCTTAGGAATTCACGGATTCTAAACGTATCAACCACATCCTGTCGAACCCCTCTTTGTTGCCCAACTTGATTAGTCACAACTTGACTCAACATTCAGATAGCTTCCCAAAATTCAGCATTAGTGACCTCTCATTGGGGTTGCACTTCTGGTGCATTAGGTACCCCTTGTTCCTCAACGTTCCTCCTAGTAGGACGAACTCGGACAACTCTTCGTGGAGGCATGATCTAAAAGTCACGCGCAAGCACGAATTAGAAATAAACTTTTATAGAGATAAACTCTATCGCACGAAATGAGTATGAATTAAGTGAGATAGTTCCTAAATGTTGCAGCCTCCTAATTATAGATGTGGAGCGCTTCACACCGATAACTAGGACTCTAAAGACACGACTTCATATACTCACTAGGACTCATGAACTCTATTCTTTGATACCAAGTTTGTCAAGCCCCGAGCCTACACCCTGGGCGGGACTAGCACTCGAGAACCATTGCTGGACCCAACAGAACCCTTGGCCTAGCTAGACTCTCAACGGAAGACTTACCTGACATAAAATATACTTAAATACAATCTTAACTGAACTGTCTCAATAGATAAACTTAGAATGTTTTAAAAGTAAACATTCAACTAGCCAAAGTGGCAACTTAAGTCTCATAACAAAACAACTGAAATGCATAAAACTAATGAACTATAACTATCCATCTATCAAGCCTCTAAAACTATGAGGGATGTCAGGACAAGATCCCCGATCATCCTAACAACTAAAAATGCTAAAACATGAAAAAGGGATCCTCTGGAAAGCAATGAGGCTCACCAAATGACTCTGGATGCTCAACTGGATCACGAAGCACTGGATGCTAATCCTGATTACCTGTATCTGCATCATAAAATGATGCAGGACAACTGATATCAATACATTGAATGTACAAGCATGCGAGGGGAAAACTTAAACATGACATAAGCTTGAAATGAAATCTGAAAGAAACACTTGCCTCAGCTTTGCTCAACTCATGGATACTCAACTCAATGCAGAAATAAACAACACTAAAGATGCAATTTATATGAAGCATGTAAAACAGTAGATAACATCTTAAAGTATTATAAAATACAATAATATCTCAATTGTACATAAGTATACAAAAATAAACTTTGTTTGAGAGATTCTCTAACCGACAACTATTACTATGAGCTATGTGATGATACAACGTCTCACCCACGCTGTCAGAACTATCCTATAACTTGCCGGGATATAGAACGCCTCAACTAAGTGGATCCACTAGTCTATGCTAAAAGCATTAAGGAATCATCTAAAAGTATGACCCTTTCTACCCACGTTAGCTACACGGTTTATGGAAACTTGAGTTATAATAAACTCATCACCATATCGGTGCTCAATACTACTCCTAAAATATACTCAGCTCATATGTTTAAAAACATAACTCTTTCTCTGTGGTTTGAGGTTATTACTAAAAAACTTATCTCTTAAAAGAGATGGAACTCAAAACTACTCATGAAAACTCATTTGAAAATCGTTGTTTCTTCTCATCTTAAATGTGATACCATTTGCTCTTTGGGGGTACTTAGTCCCCATACATCATTTTAAAGAAATGAACTTGGCTCTACTCTTTCTCAAACTCAATACTTAAGTCTTTAAACCAAGTTTAAAACAATTGTAAAAGACTTTCGAAAGACTCTAAGAACTCTCTTGACTTGACTCTTAGCACTACCTTGAATTTTAATTATGGATTCAAGGGTTATGATCTCATGTTATAGATGATCTCTTAATGTTTAGACGTACCTTAGAGTGTAGTGATGAGTCAGAGATTTCAAATCATTTAGGGCTCTATTTTGATAGTATAAGTGTCTTCAAATGACTAATTTATGCTCTAAACTGATGTTAAAATGTTGATTTACAGCTATGAAGGCTAAGGAGTAAGTCAAGGATATGACAGGACAAAAAAGAGCTAAAAAGTGAAAGAAGTGAAGAGAACCGATCTTGGTGATCGCCAAGACCACTCGGTGAACCGCCGAGTGACTCATCACTCTGCCCGAAGTTCCAGCATGCCAGCCCTACAGATGAGAGAAACTGGGCGAAGCACAAACCCTATCGGTGAAGCACCGACTGGGTCGATGAAGCACCGACTGGATTGGCGAAGCACCGACTGGATCGACGAAGAAAGGTTAGATCGGTGAAAGTTACAGAATGCGCCATGAAAATGCAAGCAGATTGGTGATCCAAAGGAGCGAAGGGGGAAATGCGGAATCCATTGGCGACGCCGACATAGATCTCCTAAAGTTACAGTGCATAATTGGATGAAAACACAAAACTCGAAGGCGATGCACAGGGGCGTTGGCGAGTTGCCAACCAGTCGGCGAAGCCCAACTTTCCTCGCTGATTTGCCCCAAATGGCCAAATTTTGGATCAGTATAAATTGATATTTTGAAGAGAGAAGGTATCCAAACATTGGGAAATTCATACCCAGAACGGAAATACATTGTTCTTGCTCAGTTTCAAAAGTTTTCAAGAAGATTTCGAGTTGGGTTTCGTAATAGAAGCTAAATTTACTCATTTTAAGGTTGTGGAAATCAATTCCCAACTATGGAGCATGTAATAGGTATTGACTTTTCACTTTTTATGATGACTAGCTAAAACCCCATTCTCTGGGGTTTGACCATGTGATTAATTGCTTAATTTAGCTGATGGGTTCTAGAAATTATTGATTGTTTTGCTAATTTAAAGTGGGTCTGATTTCTTGCTGCTGTTATTTTGATGTATTGAATGTTTATTTCATTGCTACTAGAGTTTTATGCTTGCTTGAGATAGAAGTTTTAAACCAAGGCCATAAATTAGCACTCGTAGTGATTGTGCTATTGTGGGTTCAACTCGAGAGAGCAAATCCTAAGTCTCGTTCTACCTATCTAGCTTGAGAGAGTGGATGGAGTGAGCTTGTGGGCTGATTTCTATGGTTAGTCTGTTGAGGTTCGAGAGAACTCAATTGAAGCGAGGTAGTTGTTTGAGAGCAAGCTACTTCATAAGGTCCATTCTACGCGCGATGATTTAGTAACTTTTAGTAATTAGCAAACACCCATTTAGCATAATTGGCAGTTGATTGGTTCCTGGTGCTTTCATTTGCACTCATCCTTTCACCTGATCACAAACGCCTCACAATAAATGGTAAGTTGATTCAACTACAACACAAAGAAATCACTATTTAAATTCATATTTGGGGGACTAGAGCATGAGAATCCCCATGAGCATATTCGTAATTTCATGGAAGTGTGCAGCCCGTTCTTAGTCAAGGATGTTACACAAGAATCAATTAGGCTCCGGTTGTTCCCGTTCTATTTAATGGGAGACGGAACCAAGTGGTTAGCAAATCTACCAAGTAATTCCATTTTGTCATGGGAGGAGCTTACCGACGCATTATACGTAAGGTTCTTTCCACCCTCAAAGATGGTGAAATTGCGTGACAACATCCAAACTTCAACAGAGTAGAAAAGGAACCAATTCATGAGACTTGGATGAGATATCGAAAGTTGCTATTATAATGTCCTACTCATGGGCTTTCGGGTGATGTGATTAGACTCAGTGAACAAAAGAGTAGCCGACCAGCTGGCCCGATGAGGGATAATGCTCCAACCATTTGAGGTTGCCTCAACCCTTCTTGATGAATTGACAATGATTAATCAGGCATGGTACACTTAAGAGGACCAAGTTTCCCTCTTTAGTTTTAGGATGAGAAAAGAGAAACTTAAGAAGGAGAAAAAGATGGATGAGAATATTAACAAAATGATGTCCCAAATGGAGTTGTTACAAAAGCAAGTGTTAGAAAAGGTTGGTGCAACCAAAGAAGTCATAAAAGTGTTTAAAGTTGAGGAGGGTTCTCACCCGTGCTAATTAAAGCCGGGTGGGAATCAAGGTTGGAATGAGAAGGGTTCTCACCCATGCTATTTAAAGTCGGGTGGGAATCAAGGTTGGAACTTGCATAAGGAGGAAGAGCAGAGATGATACTATCAAGAATGGACTGAACAAAATGACCCTTGGAGGAGAGAAGAGAGTCATGAAGAGGACCACACACACAATCAAGTGACAACCTAAGATCAAAGGGTAGTTCGGGTAGCCTACGAGTGGATGATTTGTTGTCGCATATCCTAGATAAGTTTGAAGGATCTGATGACATGCTTAAGGAGATGAAAACTGATTTCTCGTCATTGAATAATAGAGTGAATTCTCACTCAGATGCAATCAAGAAACTTGAGGGTCAAGTGAGTCAACTTTCAGAACACCTAGAACCCATGGCATTTGAAAGGGGTGAAGCTGAATGCGCAACAACTTTGAGGGCTGACTATGACAAATATTTGGTAGTTTTGACTCGAAGTGGATAGATAGCGGTCGGTAATGTGAAAGGTAATAATGGGATGAACACTCATGAAAAGGAGAAAGCTATCAATGAGGTAGATGGGCTTGTTCAAGCACCGGAAAGTGATATGATCAAAGAGAAGGAGGAAAGACCTAAGCAAAACCCCGCCGACGAGTTGCAAAAAGATAAATAGAAGGGCATCCCAACTCCAAAGATAGTGCAACCTCTTCCCCAAAAATAGCTCCCCCATTTCCTCAATGTATCAAAAATAAAAATGAGGATGAAAAGTTCAATAAATTTCTATCCTTGTTTAAGACACTTTCTATTAATCTTGCATTAGTGGAAGAATTATTGGAGATGTCGGGTTATGCTAAATTCATGAAGGAGCTGGTCCCTAAGAAGAGAAATATGGACTTCAAAACAATTGAAGTTTCTCATAATTGTAGTGCCGTTATGACTAGTGAGATGATTATAAAGAAACAGGATCCTGAGGCATTCACCATCCCATGCACCATTGGTATGCTTCAATTGATTAAAGCTTTATATGATTTTGGAGCAAGTATCAATTTGATGCCCTATGCAATCTTTAAACAACTTGGGATGGGTGAACCAAAATCAACCACAATGCGGCTCCTTATGACAGATCGGTCAATCAGACACCCCGTTGGAATACTCTATGACATATTGGTAAAGGTGGATCGATTCATATTTCTGGCTGATTTTGTTATTCTTGATTTTGAGATTGATACTGATGTTCCTATTATTTTTGGTAGACAATTTTTAGCAACTGGAAGGGCCCTTATGGATGTTGAAAGTGGGGAGTTGAAATTCCGGGTGAACGAAGATGAGGTCACCTTTAATGTGTGCAAATCAATGAAACACCCGAGTGATATTTATGTGGTTTCAACGATTGATATAATTGATGCAGCGATGGCCAGTGTGAGCTAATTGATGTGTATGAGTGAACCTCGAGGCTGTTCTATCGAATTATGATGAGATCGAAGGTTAAGGGTATTATGAAGTGGTAGCTACTCTATCAGGATTAGGTGAATACTCAAGAAACCCACTGAAGCTCGACATTGATCTAAGGAATCGAGAAAATCCTCCCGCCAAACCATCCACGGAGGAACCATCAAAGCTTGAGTTGAAAGTGCTCCCCGCTCATCTTCGATATGCATTTTGGGGGGCAAATAACACCTTGCCCGTTATCATTCCAATTGATTTGCTTGAATGGGATTTAAAATTGCTTCTTGAGGTGTTGAGAAGGTACATAAAGGCTATAGGGTTGACTATCGCTGACACTATGGGTATTCCACCCGACATTTGCACTCACAAGATTCAATTTGATAGTGAGTGCAAACCGAGTGTCGAACATCAAAGGAGATTGAACCAACTAATGCTAGAGGTGGTAAAAAAAAGAGATGATCAAGTGGTTGGATGCAAATGTGATTTACCCTATTGCAGATAGAAAATGGGTGAGTCCGGCACAATGTGTACCCAAAAATGGTGGCATCACGGTAGTCTCAAATGAAAAAGAGGAACTTGTTTCTATGAGACTAGTAATTGGATGGAGGGTATGCATGGATTATCAGAAGTTAAATTCTTGGACTGAAAAGATCACTTTCCCATGCCTTTTATGGATCAATGCTTGATCGGCTTTCGGAGCGCGGATGGTATTGTTTCTTGGATGGTTATTCCGGGTACAACCAAATCTCTATAGCACTGGAGGATCAAGAGAAAACCACTTTCACTTGCCCCTATGGAACTTTTGCTTTGAAAAAGGATGCCTTTAGGGTTGTGTAATGCCCTGACGACATTTCAATGTTGCATGTTGTCTATTTTTGCTAACATGGTGGAAGATTCAATGGAAGTTTTCATGGATGACTTCTCAGTTGTGGACGATTCTTTTGAAACATGTTTGGCACACCTTGGGCAGGTTCTTCAAAGATGTGTGGAAACCAATTTAGTCTTAAATTGGGAGAAATGTCACTTCATAGTTAGAGAATGTATAGTTTTGGGTCACAAGGTATCACAAAAAGGGTTGGAGGTCGACAAGGCCAAGATTGAGATTTTGGAGGATATGCTTTGAGCTTGCATTATGGAGTTTGAGGGTAGTTGGGACAAACACTTCACTTTGATATATTTTTCTTATAATAATAGCTACCAATCGAGTATTGGAATGACTCCTTATGAAGCCTCATACAGAAGAAAATGCTGGACCCCTCTTTGTTGGAGTGAAGTTGGTGAAAGAAAGCTTGTTGGTCCTGAAATTGTGCAACAAACAGAGGACAAGGAAAAAATTATAAAGGATCGTCTAAAGATTTCTTCGAATAGACAAAAGTCGTACGCTGATCTTAGAAGGCGTGACATTGAATATCAAGTTGGAGATAAAGTATTCTTAAAGGTGTCTCCGTAGAAAGAGATTATGAGATTTTCCAAAAAGGAAAACTTAGTCCTCGATTTATTGGACCTTATGAGATACTTGAAAGGGTTGGACCAGTTGCATATAAATTAGCTTTGCCACCGGAGTTAGACAAGATCCACAATGTCTTTCATGTTTCTATGCTCAGAAGATATCGTTCTGATCCATCGCATGTTCTTCCAGTTGAATCTATTGAGGTTAATCCTGACTTGACTTATAATGAAGAACCTATCCGAATTGAAGCTTAAGAAGTAAAGCAACTTAGAAACAAGAGAATCCACTTAGTAAAGGTACTTTGGAGGAATCATTCTGGAAAAGAAGCTACCTGGGAGAGAGAAGAAGACATGAGGACCCAGTATCCGCACTTGTTTTAGGACTAGTTTAAGGTAAATTTCGAGAAGAAATTTCTTTAAGGGGGAGAGAGTTGTAACACCCCTAGTTACTAACCAAGAGTCGCTTGTCGATACACCATTGCTTAATTACTACAGTATGTTTTACTCTCATTTGGGGAACTTGAAATGTTGTGATATTTGCAAACTTGCTTAACATTAATTGTGATTGTAATTTATGGGATTGTATAGGGGTATTTGCGTTATATTCTAGTTGGAATTATCCATAACTTGAAAGGGAGGTGAGGTATATACATATTCGTATATATGTATACTTTTGGGCAGCCAACCTTTGACTTTTGGCTGTATCTAGTAAGTGATAAATATCACTTTTATAACATATAATTTCACACCTCCTCTATAAGAATTCGTGTCCTTTAACTCTAAGAAACTTGTAGAACTTCCTCTAACAATATTACTCACAAAATTCCAAGAAAATCTTGGTCCTTTTGGCTGGAATTCGAGATACACCCTTCTCTTTTGTGAGTAGTCAAAATCTGTTTTTGAGCTAAGTAGTGTTTAGTACTTTTGGAATATCTCGTTCTCTAGAACTCATTTTTCTGTGAATAAATATGATTTGGAAAGCTAATTCTTATACCTACAACTCTTATGTTTATGTATAACTCTAATTTATCTGTTATGGATTCGAAATATTGGATGCAACATAGGACAAGTTCTGTCCAGATTTAGGATTTAGAAATCCTGTATGAACAACTGTTATTGTTTCGATGAAATCGTTTTGTACAAAATGTATTTTGCGGTGATTCTTGATTTTTTGCAACCTTAAGAGATGTACCTACATCTTTCATGAAGGATATACAGTCCAGTTTTTCCGTTTTTCTTTTCAAATCTAAGTTGCGACATGAGGTACTAGGCTGGCCAGAATTACTGTTTTGGGAGCATAGTCGTATTTGTACAGGCTAAGCTTACTTGTGATGATAATCCTGTTTTACATCAACATTATTGAGATATTAGGAATTAATGAAGTTATTTAATTTTATTTTAAGGTTTTATATACTCGTGGACAGTTTGAGGACCTTGATACGTTGGTTGGTCTACGGTTTGAACTCTAAAATTTGTGTTGGACTGTTTCAAAGCTAAGCACTGAGGTTTGTGTATAAACTTGTACTTGTACTCTTTTTACTTGCTGGTATATCTGAAAGTTTATCTTGGTACCTTGGTTACCTCTTGTCACTTTGCATTGTCGTGTTGGTATCCTTTAAGACATTAAAGACTCTTGTGTAACTCGCCCACTTGTACGGATTGTTTGATCACTTGGCACTTTTGTTTGGACCTTGTCCTTCTTGTGGCTGTGACTTTGTCACTATTGGCATGCCTCTTGATTCAGATCATTTGCCATCTTGACTCTGGATTTTTAGTCCGTCTTAAGAATGGAAGTTGTCCATTTTAAGTACGAACTAGAAAGCCATTTTTAATATGGTTCTTGGTTCTCTTGATTATTGGGCCTTGACCCTTCTTGATACACCGCGTCGGCCCTTCTTGATACCTTCTTGTGCTTGGTGTGACAACACGATGTATATATTGGGCGAGCCTTGTTATTGAATCTCTTGGAAAATGGTGCTATGAGCGTTCTTGACATTTGGATCTTTAAAATATCAAACTTTATACTCTTTTATATATTGTTTACTTGATTTATTTGTTATGTTTCAATTGTGCTGCCTATGACTTGAGAAAGGTAGCTTGGTGAATCTGAGGGCTCCGAACCTATAGTTTTTTCACCACTAAGATATATGCTTAGCGATAGTTGTTTCTATCATAGGGATTGATCGAGAGGAGGCATGAAGCTGGCCTTTGGAGATGGAGATTTTGAGAGCCTTAAGGAAGATCACATTTGCATATAGGCATCTATAGTTTGTATAACCTTGGGACTTGTACATGATCTATGTGTTGTATGCTTACATGAAATTTTGAGGGCTAATTTGAATATGTCACCATGGGTTGTAATATAAGTATGGATATATGTTTTGTTCTTTTGGGGTATGTAACCCAAGTCTTGTAATATATTAAATTTACTATTTGTTTGGAATGGTTGTGTGAAGCATGAACCGACTAATTTGGGTACTCGGAAGTTGGTAATATTCTTTTTATATCATTTTTGCAGTGTGAGGATAATATATGCATGAAATCTCATAAGTAATTTGCTTAGATTATCTTGGATGGATTTTTCCCGCCGTAAGTTAATATCTATGCAGTTTCGATTTGACGCAAATAAATGTTTAAATGGGCAGGATGCACATCTTTAACTATTTTTTTTATGAACCTTATCCCCCTACTAGATTTTAATCAATACACCCTACATTAATTTCTTTTAAATGCGCAAGTATTAAAGTAGATTCCTTCTTAAGTGGTAGTATCCTTCAGAAAGAGTCGCTACATTTCTTGCACTTCTTGACATGCCTTCTTTTTTCACAACACCCCCAACTTAGGCTTTTGGCCTAAGTTGGCTATTCAATCAACCACAAATCAAGAGGATTATGGGTAATGGATTAAGAAAGGTCATGTTTTCATCAAGTTTCATCCAAGAAAAGATAAGGCTCAAAGGGTGTTCAAAAGTGATTCACACACACTCACAAGGTAGGTCACAAAAGAGGTATATGTCAAATTGTTTCACACTCTTCAAAGTTACTTAAGATCATATCATGAGATCACATCACTTAGTCAACTAGACCAACAGGGCGAATTCTAGGTGTCATCATGCATAGTTCACGGTAAGCTCATCACACAAGGCATTGACACCAAAGTCAAACAAGACTCCACACTTTCGCTAGTGTGCAATGTTCATCGCAAGAAACTCAATTTTATAATTGGCTAATCACAACGAGATGCAAAAAGTTCACATATTGTCTTATGCAACTTCATTTGGCCTCGTCGTAGCCATACGTTTATGTTTGTTTGATTATGAGCACTATTTGAGTCATCGGTATTGATCAAAACTGAGACTTAAATTTGCAAAAGAACAGCCACAATCAAGTACATACAAGAGGTGGCGAATTTCTTTTCGGATGGGTCAAAAATCATTTACAATTGAAGCATAAGGAGCCACAAGCTCAAACATACACAAAGCAGTATAGAGCACAATTATAAGCACAACAACCCAAATACAAAATCATAAAAGAATAATAATATTCACACAAAAGGTGGGCCTTACCCCACCAAGAATAAAAATCATTTTTCCTCAAATGCAAATGAAGTAAAAGTATCCAAAAAGAAAGATAGAGAGGGAGGTAAAGAGGGAATCCTGGCTAAGCATTCGCTCTATCTGTCTGGGCATCAGTTCACGGTGCGTCAGCCTAGACTTGGGCATCAGTGCCCGGAGTCACCTCAGAAGTACCAGCTCCACCGAAGAGAGCAAAAGGTGCATCTGCTAGGGAATCCTGCATAACAGCTTCTACCATGATCTCATCCATCCTAACAAGGTCTCCATATGCAGCTCCCTCAGCCTCCCTAAGGTCCGGCAAGTCTCTGTATATGCTCTCATCCCGGATGTCCATCTACTCCTCGTCGATTTCAACATCCGACTCATCAACTGCAGCCTCCTCCCTGTGCATCTCTCCAGTGGTAGCCGGAGGAATGTCTGAGGTCTCAGGAGCATCTAGATCATCTGTAGCCTCCAGTAACAAAGTGAAGTCAGTAGACTTTAGATAGTCTATGTCCTTCCTCAAGTCTACTACCTCGACTTTTAAATTCAAAACCTTAGAGGTCTCCCCCTGCCTGCTCTCACATGATGTGATTCTAGCAGTTAGATCATTAACAGAAGCACAGAGGGGAGTCAATGCAACTATTATGGCAGCTTCAATCATCAGGGGGATATCTCTCTCCAGTCTGGTAGCTCTCACGTCAGCTGACTGAGCAAGATGCCCCATCTTCAGGATCAATGCCTTAGTAATCTTGGGATGCTGGGAGGAAGTGGACGTGCCTGGAGCATGTGAAGAACAAGTAGAGGCAAAAGTACCTTAAGGCCCAGAGACTGGAGTAGGCAAAAATGCCTCTGTAGATATCGAGTCAACATCTACCTTCGTGGATGTGTCCATCGGGGCTGCCCTCCTCCTGTCTACCTCCTCTCTAGTATACTCGGCCTCAATACGTCAGATGTCGATAGAGGAAGATAGGATCACCTCAAAATCTCTAGTAGCAGCTTGAGGCACTCGAGTGCGCTGGCACAACTCTGTGATCAATACAGGAAATGGTAGAGAAGTCTACCTCTGCTTGGCCCTCATGGTCATTTCTTGTTAAATAATGAGTCCTAAGTCGATGCTCCTTCAGGATATGATGGATTCAAGATAAGCTGCCTTAGGATGACATAGAATGGACTCATTCTGGGATGACAATATGGTGCTGCTAATTAATCCAAACCAGAAACGAGTTGCAATACTCAAATATTTGTTTTCAATGGGGACCCCTACCTCAATCCACTTTGGGGTAACATCGGAAATCAGTGGGCCCAACCAGCCTTTCAATTCATCTAATGATTGAGTGATGGGCAATCCATCGTACGGACGTGTTGAATGTAGAGATTTTCCCAAAACAATGTTGATGTGCTCGTTGTTGCACCCAACCTCCTTTCCCTGGACCATGACCAACTTA